TCGATTCAACCCCTTCTGATGTTGCTGTTGCCTCCCTCCGATGGCACCTTCTCCACCGGGCAGCCTTTGATCTGTAGTCGTTTCTTTCTCTATCAACATTGTAGTTGCCGATATCGCCGAAATTGTCTCCGTCCGTCGCAGCTCGAGCCATCTTTCTTTCTCGCTACCTTTCTCCGGACTCCTCTGCCGCTGGTTGCATGATCATCGCCGCCGCCACTAGTCTTCTCTTTTTCTACAATGGAATCACCTATGGTTGTTGCTTCTTCTCTCTTCTTCTCCGATGAACAGTCGATGTTTGTTAAGATTTATGGAGTCTTAAACAAATTGACAAGTTCCTAAGAGTTCAAGGGCCATAAATGTAACATTACATTTAACAACTGAATTATTCAATTGTTGTCGGCAAACGTTTGAATTAAATATTCAAATGGTCGGTGGACAATTATTTAATATTTGTTGGACGGCTAATGTGAATGACAAAATTTTCAAAGTCAATATTTGCGGCAATTTAGTATGAAATTGAAGAAAAATTTACGGCCATTTGTAGTATAAATATAGAGCGATGCAGCAGAACAACAAGCAGCGTAGAACAACAAAAGTGCTGAGTGATATTACAATTTGTAATCTTATAGTGAGTTAATATAAAATCTAGTTGCGCCCGTGGACGTAGGATTTACACCGAATCCGAACCACGTAAAATCCTTGTGTTCCTTCTTGCTTTATTTCCTTCGTGTGTTTGTGTGTGTGATAGTGTGTTTCCGCTGCGTGTACCTGGTCCGATTCCTAACAACTGGTATCAGAGCCAGATTAGCGAGGTTTGGAGGGTACAATCATTTTTTTTTATCACGCACGAGTGTACCTGATTTGTATCTTGTTTGTCGTAATGGCTGAAGACAAGGTTGTAATCGAAAAGTTCAACGGTTCTGATTTTAGCTGGTGGAAAATGCAATTAGAAGCATTGCTATGTCAGAAAGACTTGGACGTGGTACTCGGAGACAAACCGGAGAAAATGGAAAAAGCTTTTGAAGATGCGTGGAACTCAAAGGACAAGAAAGCCAAGGCGGTTATTACATTGTCGTTGACGAAGAGCGTTGCTTTCAACATCATGAATGAAACCACGACACGTGGTATGATGGAGGCTCTGTCAAATATGTATGAGAAACCATCGATGGCTAACAAGGTGTTCTTGATGAAGGAGCTGTTCACTACAAGGATGAATGAGGAAGGCTCAGTTACGGTTCACATTAACAATCTAAATTCAATTCTGTCCAGATTATCATCTGTGGGAATTAAATTTGATAACGAGACTCAAGCATCACTGCTACTAGCTTCTCTACCTGATAGCTGGTCCGGAACAGTTACTGCTGTTACGAGTTCCGTGGAGACCAGTGGTATGACTTTTGAAGGGGTTAGAGATTTGGTTCTTGGCGAAGATATCAGACGCAAGAATCAAGGTGGATCTTCTTCTTCTGAGTTATTAAATGTCGGAAGAGGTAGAGGGAATAGCAGGAATAGTGGAAGCAGTGGGAGTCGGGGAAGAAGTTCATCTAGAACTAAGAAGAATGTGAAGTGCTGGAACTGCCAGGAGGTGGGACATGTTAAGAGTCAATGTCCAAAGAAAGAATTGAACATTACCGGTGCTGAGAGTGTGTCTGAGGATGATGCATTGATACTCAGTATGGAAAGTTCTGTAGACTCTTGGGTCATGGATTCAGGGGCTTCGTTTCACGCCATGGACAACGGGGAAACGATGGTGAATTTGAAAGAAGGAGATTTTGGAAAGGTACGTTTGGCAAATGACGAGATGCTTCAGGTAACGGGCATGGGAGATATTGATTTGGTTACTTCATTGGGAACTACATGGAGCCTGAAGAATGTCAGGGTTATTTCGGAGCTGAAGAAAAAAATTGATTTCTGTTGGTCAGCTGGATAAACAAGGACTGGAAGTAAGGTTTGGTGGTGGTAAATGGATGGTGGTCAATGGTAATTCGGTGATTGCTCAAGGTTTGAAGCGTGGGTCATTGTATATGGTTGAGGTACCTGATGAGGGAATTATGACCGTCCCTGTTAAACAAGACAAAATCTGGTTCGCTAAATCTACGGCTAAGAGAGTTCATTTTGCAAACATAAATTCTGGAGCCAAAGAGATGTTAGCTGAACGAGTTCGAAAGTCTAAACCATTCAGGGGATTCTGTGACAGTGGGAGCACGGGACGTGTTTCGGGTACAGTTACAAAGAGCCGTTGGGTTTTGAAGACTAAGACTGAAAAATTCTCTCCTGTTGGATGTTTGCTATATTTGGAGAGTGTTAGTGGTCCTCGGTGTATCTCTGGATCCGGTGGAGTGTCCAAACCAGTTGAGACAGAGGATGAGTCGGTGGCGGGATTAGCCATGGCTGTGTTGGAGCTAGTGGGAGCTTCAACTGGCCCTTTCTAGTAATTGATGATGAGGGGCGGCTGCAACTAGAGAAATCAGACTAAGTTTTAGCTTGTTCTTTGGAACTGGAAGCCTAAAAGGACTTGGTTGTTTTTTAAGATTACTGGAGTAATTGAGAGTTGAATGGCGGAGAAAAGCTAAAGTTGTTCAAGCCTCCAAGTGGGAGATTGTTAAGATTTATGGAGTCTTGAACAAATTGACAAGTTCCTAAGAGTTCAAGGGCCATAAATGTAACATTACATTTAACAATTGAATTATTCAATTGTTGTCGGCAAACGTTTGAATTAAATATTCAAATGGTCGGTGGACAATTATTTAATATTTGTTGGACGGCTAATGTGAATGGCAAAATTTTCAAAGTCAATATTTGCGGCAATTTAGTATGAAATTGAAAAAAAATTTACGGCCATTTGTAGTATAAATATAGAGCGATGCAGCAGAACAACAAGCAGCGTAGAACAACAAAAGTGCTGAGTGATATTACCATTTGTAATCTTATAGTGAGTTAATATAAAATCTAGTTGTGCCCGTGGACGTAGGATTTACACCGAATCCGAACCACGTAAAATCCTTGTGTTCCTTCTTGCTTTATTTCCTTCGTGTGTTTGTGTGTGTGATAGTGTGTTTCCGCTGCGTGTACCCGGTCCGATTCCTAACAATGTTAGCCTCCATTGTTATCCATTATTAGAGCTCTACCACCGTCGATGCCGCTATCTTCATCTAGTTTTTATGTTTTCTTCTTTTGTTTATTTTTCTAGTTTAATCTTCTCCACCCGATCAAACTGCGGGGGAATGCTAGCGATTAGGGTTTAGCTATTAGGCTTTATGTATTCTCTATATATTCTTATGTAATTATCTTTTGAGAATCAATCAATCCATTGTCTAACATCTAGGTGTTAGGATTTTGATTTCCGATGAGAAGTAGAGGATTAAGGAATTATATTTTAGAAATCCATTGTATTTAATGATATGGATGGCTTTATTTTTTAGAAATCCATTGTATTTAATGATATGGATGGCTATGTACGTATATCTTCTTTGAGTTTGAAGACATTGATGAATGGGGAAGAAATGTGGAAGAAGTGAGAAACAAAAGACAGGTATGTTTTTGTCAAAAAAAAAAATGTTGCATCTAGTTCCACCATTTTGGATGGGACTAAAATATAACAAAATAGTCCCATTGACTTGGTCAAGATTTTATATTGTTTTTGTCCGAGTCATGCCAAACCAAAAGCCATTTGAGAGGAAATTATTCTATATAGTTCTGTCCAGCCACGCTACCTTACGGATGGCCTAAGAGGCCTGGTCTACACAACTTTTTTACATTTTCTAACATAATACCTCACAAATTAATTATCATTAGCGAGCATTGGATTTTTTGCGAGTAATTATTTAGCACAACTAGTAAGCATCAATGGTCCTTATGCTAGATGTCTCGAGTTATATTCTTGGAAGTCTCTTTTTTTAAAGAATACCCATGCGAGACTTAATACTATTTTAATGGTCATGACATTTTTATTTGATAGCAACTACTTAGCACAACTGGTTAGTGTTTATTGTCCTTATGATAGAGGCCACAAGGCACAAGTTGTAACCTTGGAAGTCTCGTTTTTTTAAACTCTAAACAATACACACACATGATTTATTACTTCTAAGGATTTTTATATTTTTATTTATTTATTTATTTATTTTGCAAGTAACTGTTTAGCACATCATGGACATTTCATGGAGGTGGTGAGTTCTAATCCTAAAAGTCTTGTTTTTGCTTAAGGTCATGAGTTCTTGTTTGTTTCTGACGTAAACAAAATGAGAGTTGTAATAATCGAATTCAAACCCTCTAAACAACATACGCCTTAACCAATTGTTCTAAATTCCACTCGTAAAAAGAATTCAATGCTTGCAAGTGCAAATATTAATTAATTTGTAAGAAATTAGGTCAGAAAAATAAATGAGTTGCTGTATAGGACAAACCCACTCGCGAAATTTGCAAGCTCATTTAGAAAGGTAAGTAATCATTCTTTGATATTGAAAAAAAAAAAAAAGATAGCCATATATGTAAGTAACTCTATTTGTTCAAAATATAGTCACTGCTTGATAGTTTATTCATAACATCAAACACAACAAAATCCATTTGTTAGACGGTGAAAAATATGTATACGTATTATCCTTTTTCTAAAATATCATACACATCATTATAATAGTTACACTTAAAATTACTTTGATGTCTCATTTATTTGTATGCATTTCTTGGTACATTTGTTTTTTGGATGGTCGATCAATTAGCATTTTATCGAATTAAGAAAAAAAAGACCTCGAACTCAAAACTTAAAACTTTAATGTATGTAATCAACTTTAGCTTTAATTACAATGATTCACTTTTATTCCGAGGTTTAACTAGGGTTTCTATAGGATCCCCTTTCGTCATCATCTCTCTTGTTCTCTATCTATTCTGGTACTAGGCTACTAGTACAGCAGTGACTCAGTGAGAGTGAGAGGGTGTTTCCCTTCGATCCATTTAATGCGCCATTTCTCAGTTGTTGAAGCACCATACCTGATTACCTTCCTCTAATGCCGCTGGATCACCAAATCCGTACCCACGTCCGAAACCGGACCCGCACTCGCCGTCGCTCCGCCTGTCATCGCCATCCTAATGAACCTGTCACCAATTTCTGCGCATTGTGTCTACGAGATCGCCTCGCCGGTCTAGACTCTTCTACCGATCAACTCGAACTTGAACTTGAACGTGAAACTATTATCTCCTTCCCCTTAAGTCGCCGGACCAGAGGCCATGCCGGTGCTTCATCGTCAGGAGCTGTACCTGAACTGCGACGGAGCAAGTCTGTAGCGGCTGAGAAATGTGAGGTTTTGAATGGATCGAGTCTGGATCTGCGGCGGAAGTCGTGTGATGTAAGGGCTTGTAACAGGCTATCGGATCTGTTCGACATTGATGATACGAAGATCGGACGGAATGGACCTGTGAGGGTTCAATCAAAGAATATAGGGTTTTCCGGCATTCCAGAGCAGCTGTTGGAGATAGACGAAGATAATGGTGGTTCAAGTGGAGTTAGGATTTCTGATGATTTGTTTGTGCGGGATGAGATCGGAGAGGAAAATGATTTGAGAACGATGAAGGAACATATCGAAATAGAATTGCAGAACAAAAAGAGGAATATCTGGGATGCAGCGTCGGGTTTCAGTCAGAAGCTACGGAAATGGAGGCAAAAGCATGAGGAGAAGAAGCAAATCGAGGTCTGCAATGCCGGAGCTGATAATAACAGATCAAATTTGGAGCAATCTAAGGATCCTCAAATCCAATCTGAGCTTCCAAGCTATGTACTGGGAAGAAGATCTTGTGATACAGAACCTAGATTCTCCATTGATGTACATCGTATGTCTGTTGAAGATCCACGATTTTCATACGAAGAACATAGGGCTTCTTGGGATGGATACATGATTGCAAGAACAATCCCTCGGCTTACACCTATGCTCCCCATTGTTGATGATCTCATGTTGCCTCCTGTAAACACCAGAATCACGGTGAGTAATCAACAAGTTCAACGGATCAAGGAAGAGGGTTCAAGTTCTGGCACATCAGCTCAGTTTAATTCCGATACTTGTTCTTCAAATACAGAAAGTAGTTCAAGCTCAATGAAGAGTTCTAGTTCCAAAACAACAAGATTCCGTGGTGATGATATGAAATCTGCTTCAAATGGTCAAGAAACAAAGTTGGTGATAACCGAGAGAGAATTAAAAGATTGGCATTTGAGTTCTATCCATGCTTCAAATGGATCCATTTCTGCTTCTACTACAGTTAAGAACGGGCAGAAAAAGGAAATGGGTAATAGATGGAGAAAGATGTCTAATCTATGGAGCTATAAGTACAAACCCGGTGACAAAAGTAACAAAGATTCCATCAATGGAGTTTTTTTGAATCAAAACAATGACATCAATGGAGTTGAAAAAGGGGATTCAAATTCAAGTGGTAAGCTTGTGAGAAACAGTAGCTATGTGGGTTCAAGAAACAAAAGTGAATTACATCACATTGGTGAAGAAGGTGGTAGGCATTCTATGAGTGATCTTGACAGCAGTTTGCTAAAGCTGCATCTGCCACCATTTGTGAAGTCCAGGAAGAAACTGCTTCCACCAATGGCGAATATTTAGAGGTACTCTCACAACTCTTTAAGAGGAGTATCAATGTAGCATAACCCTGTAGAGCTTGTTAATTTGTTCTTCTTTTCTTTGTTTATTTGCAAAAAGCATAGCATAATCTTAGTGTTCTTATGCTTGGTGCTTTATTTTGATGCAATAATATAAGTTGAAGTTTTACTCTTAATATATTACAGATTTAATGATACCTTTGTAATGATTAATTACTAACTAACAAATACAAATACAAAGGAATTACATTCTCACGATATATGAGTTTTTACTTGTATGCCACTTAGCAACAACCACAAAAACCCCAAGATTCACCACACTCAAACCACCCAAAAGCCAAAAGAACTTGTGTAATTCCCCATAATTCAAATTATCCGGAATCCACCCTGGCCCACCTCCTTTGGTAGTCACTTTTATAACAACACTTACAAGTAAAGAACTGAAATAACTCCCTAAAGCAATAGTCATTAGTCGCATAGCTGACCCCAAACTCCTCATTGAATCAGGCACTTCCTCATAAAAAAACTCCATCTGTCCCACAAGTGTGAACACTTCCGCACAACCAATAATTAAAAACTGTGGAACCTGCCAAAATATGGAGATTGGGACAGGTTTGGTTTCATAGTAATTGTGTCTTCTAACAATGTCTAGTCTAATGAGTTCCAAGATTCCAGCTGTTAACATTGAAAAGATTGAAATGAAGTGGCCGGTTCCTATTCGTTGGAGCAGGGTTAGTCCGTTTGGGTGACCGGTGAGTTTTCGGGCAAGTGGGACGATGATTTGGTCGTATAGTGGGACCCAGATTATGACACTTAGGGTACCAAATGTACCTAGTGAGGCTGGTGGGATTTTGAAACTTGTGTTTGGGATTTGGGTGTCCATGAACGAGCCTTGTAGGTCGAATAGATTGTCCATTTGGCCACGTATGGTGCTGAATATGATGCCCGTGATCCAGATTGGTAGCAAACGTAATACGGTTTTCAATTCTTCAACTTGGGTAACTGTGCAAAGAGTCCATGGGTTCGTTGATCCTTTTGTGTGATCCGTGGGGAGCTCCACTGCCGCTTTGTCTAAGAATCTTAAATCAAGAAAGTTCAGGTGTATAAGATTAACATCCCCAGACGCACGTACCAAGATATTGTCTGCTTTGAGTAACCTGGCATGGGATTTGCTATTGCCCAAGAACGCTTAAGTACTGTAGAATTCTCATGGGATCTGCTGCCCTCACGACTTTAAAACACGTATTGGAAGGAAAAGGTATCCACACCCTTATTACCAATCTCACATATCACATAGACAGAAAGTCATTCAAAACACCCCTTACAAGGGTGGTGGGTACTATCCTTTCACATATCACGTTTTAAGACCATGAGGTCATCAGATCCCATGAGAACAGTATACTGTATAGTTAAGCGTGCTCGAGCAAAAACAGTACTATGATGGTATCCCTAGGAAGTCCCTATGCCTCGTTGCCCAAAGTAGATCATATCTTGGTACGTGTGTATGGGGATATATTACAGATTTTGTCAACTTTATTATAGTTTAGAGAACAAAAATCGACCTGAAATTTCTTGTATGATTAAGTTTGGTTGTAGAATTAGCATGATCATGAATCTCGTACAAAAGCGATGAATCCGGTGGGACATTGATTGTTTTCTTTCTAGAAGAAGCAACAACCACTTGGAAGAAACGTGTGAAAGGGCTACCTTTGGGTTTATGGTTCCTATAAAACCAAGTACCAGAAAAGAAACAAAATACGGACATTCCCATGGCTAAAGTAGGAATCCCAAACCCCCAAACCCAACCCACATTATCTTGTACCCATACTATCAAAGAACGAGCAACAAGGGTCCCAATATTCATCATCTGATAATACCAATTAAAAAAAGAACTCTTGAGCTTTTTTTCAGCCTTGTCATTATCATCAAATTGATCTGTTCCATAAGCCGACACACATGCCTTGATTCCTCCACTTGCAATTGCTACCAAGTAAAGCGCTGTGAAGCACACTATGGTTTCAGCTTTTGTTGCATCACAAATGTTTGTTTTGGAGCATGTTGGCATTAGTTGAGGCATTGTAGCTGATAATGTCAACAATGTCATCCCCTAAAATTAAATAATATAATAGTCAACTTATTTGTGATTTCAATATGAGGTAATCTGTCATTCATTCATAGGGTAGTTCATGGATTTGTTATTATTGTCTATTACTTAACAAGTTCATGGATTTGGTTGTACAAAGTTTATTGAATACAAACTGTTTTACCCTTGTGTATACAAACTTTCTGAAAATTTGTGTTAAAGTGATGTATACAAGCTGTTTCTTTTATTAAAGAACTGTTATAAAGCACATTTATCTTAAAAAAAGAAAATTAAATAAGTAGACTTACAACGGCATACAAGATAGAAGAGGTTGCAATTGTCCAATATTTTCCAATATAACCATCAGCAACAAATGCTCCAAATAATGGGGCAATGTAGCAAGCCCCAGTCCAATTTGATAAATTTCTTGAGGCAGTAGCACTGTGTTGATTGAGTTCAAGCTTAAAATACAGCAACAAATTTGAACTCATCCCAAAAAACGCCAATCTTTCAAGACTTGCAGTTGCTGCAATAAGTGTTACAAAATATTTTTAACTAGTAGTATTTTCTTTGATATAAATATAAATGGATGAAGAAAATATGAAAGTGAGAATGTAAGTACCAACTACAAAGAAGCATGCTTTCCAGTTTCCTGTTTTTAACTTGTTAGCTGGGCTGTTGAGGTAATCCACTGTTCCATCTCTAGTGTACAACACACAATCTTCTCCTTTGGTCTCAAGCAAAACGTAAGTGTTGGTTTCATCATCTAGATGAGATAAGTAAGAGTCAAATCACTTCCAAAACCAAGTAAATAGCCTAAACTGAACATTTGTAGTAGTTTAAAAGTTACTGGATTATTAACATAATCATAGTAAGATAAGAACAGGTGCTATAAGAATCAACTTCAAAACCCCATCTTTGCATCCAAAAACTTAGCAAAATTTGGGGGAAATGCAATTAGTTATATACTGGTTCTGTTTATAAAATCAGATGCAAATTTGAAGAAAGAGAAAGGAAAAGAATACTAGATTTGAGGAAGCTAAATTCATTGCACTGAACACGAAGGAGCTACATTCTGGAAATAATTCACATTTTGCACTTCAAAACCAGAATGCGATTCATACAAACTCCGAAAAACCCTAGAAGATGTACGCAATACAATTTAAGTAATTTATATGAAATACAAATAGTGACCCTAAATTGACAACATAATCAGTATGAAATCGCATCTGGAAGCAACACGTCTGAAATGCAAAGTAAATAATACAACGAATCCGAAGTGGATGTCAACGCAAATTTAGTAGAAATATTCAGCAAACAGTTGCATACATTTCGCCCAAAGTCAAATCAAACAGAAAGAAAGCACACAATTTCTGAGAAAAAAAAAAAAAACGGTATCAAAAGTCGAAGGACCTGAAGTGATGAAGGGAGGAGAATTTTGCGCCATGAATGGGTGAAGAGAGAGAGAAGATGTGGTTGATATGTTGAGTGATGGAATACGAAGACGATGATACTGGCGCCATTGCTGCAAATACAGTGCAAGCTCTCCAATTATTAGCGTACATTTGTTTCTTTTTGGGGTTTTAGTTTCCACATTTGTCATCGTTACATTATATACATTTAGGGGTGGGGTAGGGTTGCATGTGATTGTAATAAACATTATTTGTGCACCATCAACTTTGGCAAATATATGTTTTACAAAATTGTTGCATAACTGTTTTTTTTGGATAATAAAAGATGATGATGTCATTATGTAAAAAAACGAATTTCATAAAAAATCATTTTACTAAATAATTGATTTTTTTTGAAACGGCAAACTAACTAACCTACTATTCCTAAATAACCATCTATGTCTCCATCGAGACTTGAACCCATGACCTTTCATATGAGAGGGTCACTTCTTACCGCTATGTCATTCACCATTTGGTAAAATAATTGATATTTTAATGTGGTTATTTTGTGATAGGAATGGTAAATCCTTTATTTCTTTTAAAGAATTAAATAATCATGTGCTAAGAACTTTGTGTATTCATCATTTTTTAGGGGCTAGGCCATTGACGGGTAAAATAATTGATATTTTAATATGGTTATTTTGTGATAGGAATGGTAAATCCTTTATTTTTTTTTAAAGAATTAAACAATCATTTGCTAAGAACTTTGTGTATTTATCATTTTTTAGGTTCATGCTAACTTTAACTTTACTGGGAAATCACCTAACTGGCTACAAGTATGATACTTTTATTTTGTAACATCTGGAATGTTCAAAATAACATTAAAAATATATGAGAAAATTCAGTAAATGACCAAAGTTAAGGGGTTCTTTGAAAAAATGACCACGGAAATGAGGAATTCGGAATATGACCAAAGGTTCCGCAAAGGGGGTTCTGCGGAACCATAAACACCTCTGCGGATTCTTTATTGCTCCGAGGAATCAGGGGCATTACGGTAAAATTGCCCAAAAATTACCCTTTCCTCCTTACTCGAACGCGGAAGGAAGCTAGGGCAGTCGATTCGCGGAAGGAAGCTGCGGACTATGATCGGAACAGACACAAAAATGTCGCGGCGAGCTCGATTCGTGGAGCAACTGCACTCCGATGTTTTATCCGATGGATATGGAACTCAAGTAATATTTCAATTTTTTTTCCTAATCTTTGTATAAACTCGGAAGTAGAAACTGATTATATGAATTGGAAACTGATAGGTTAAATGCTATATATATAAACATGTATGTTTGTTAGGGTGTAAGGACTGGAGTTTGTGAAATAAGAAATCGATTTATCCTATTCTTTTCGTCATGAACAGATCTGCAGAGGTCCTCTGCTCAAGAACAGATCCGCAGAGGAGCCCTCTGCGGAACAATATATGCCTCTGCGGAAATGTATTTTTTTGTTTTTTCGATTTTCTATAATTATTATCTCTTA